AGACCCTAGATGACTAGAAAAACGTTGCTATGTCAAAAGAGTCACGATTTTAGTTTGTAAGACTTAATGGTACGCATTGAGTAGATCTCACAAAAGCTATGGATCCAAATTGTGAACAATGCACTGTGCAAGCTGGTGGCGGCTCCTTTATGATGTAGGTGTTTCTATATGACAAGGTCTTCTGGTCAAACTGAGCCACCAATCACTGAACGGAAATGATTATGCTCAGCTATTAAGTGACTAATTGCACACACGCCATCAATGAACTACATGTACTCAAACAGTGATAGAATTTTTCAGGGTCACAATACTCATGTCACCGGACCCAAACCACTTGCAATAGGTTTGAGGAAAATTTAGAACAATCCCAGTTAACTGAATTGGTCATCGAAAGACCAGTTCATGCTTAAAATCCTGCATCGGGAACACTTTCGCAATTATGAACAGCTGTAAAGACAGCATGATTGAACTCTTCAAAAGGCTATCAGTGACTTATCGAGACAATGCCACGCAGAGTTGCTGCACCCAGAGAAAAGGATGTCAGACACACAATATTAGGAAGTATCCCATGATTTGGAAACTTTAATGTATGCATTGTTTTAAGCATTGACACACACACACACACACATAGAGCAGGGATAAAAATAAGTCAATAAAGCGCCAATTTTTTTTTAATGAACCTGAAAGTATTCATAATATTTATTTCTACATGAGTGCTGAAATTACTAAAACGAATCAAATATAAATAAAGTTAGAATTTTATGAAATATTTCAATCAATAAATGCCCCATTAATTTTGAACTCAAAATCCAACAATCTGAAAGAGAGAGAATCTGCATAACAATAAACAACGATTTTTAAAATGCAGAACACATTTCCTAGATATGAAAGAAATAGCTAGAGTATTTCCACAACAAAAACTTTCCTAAATATAATTCCTAAAATGTTTATATTATACTTTTTCAAACGTAAGAGAGAACACACTGTAAAGCTTTTAATCACACAAATAAAAATATAAGTGGAATTATTATAAACTTTCTATTAAAAAATACTCCTCTCCTTCTAATATCTCATAGAGTATTAAACAAGTGGTTATTAATTATAAAGAACTATCTTCCTTAGTAATTTTACCATTGCAATAATATTCTTTTCAAATATAGATCATTTTGAATTTACCGAATTGTGCAATCATTATAAAATTGATTGATTGATCAATTATGAACGTCGCCATTCGAATACAAAATGAGGGTTATGTAAAAATTTTAAAAGTCAGTGGGAAAAAATAATTTTCAAAAATTAAATTTTTCGAGACGCCACACTTTTAAAATATATCAAATTTAAGATATAGAAAAGTGATTGCTGGGGAAAAAATTAGTAACCACTAGTACAAAGTTATAACTTACAGTGTTATCAAAGTAGCATTAGTGATGATTAAAATAATAGTTAGAAGTATATTAATTTTTATTATATTACATTTTTTGTTCAGAATTAAAGAAATTCGACAATTATTGTTAAGTTAATAAAACAAAACAGAGAGATATTAAATCAATAAGAAGAATTTCACGGAAATTTTAACCTAGATATGTGTATTCTTATTCATCTCCTCTCTTCATTGATTAATTAGAATATTTAGAGTTGAAGAGAAATTCTCAGAGCCAAGTTAGACTAAATAAATGACGTATTTGAGAAATTTCATTAATTTTTGATGAAGTTTCGGAAAAGAGGGAAAAACTGCAATGAGCGTATTGGCAGTTTCTTCATAAAATTGTCATTAAAATAATTGAATTTGCCTCAAAACAAAGCATAAATTAATTTTTTATTAAATTTTTACTTCAGCAGATATAATTTTGATGAAACTTATTAAACTGAACAGTTGAACACGATTCTTTTTTAATCAATGAATTAAATTCTAATAATAGAAACAAGACACGAATTGGTTTTATAAGATGTCGCTACAGCAGTTTCATTTTCACTATTTTTTTAACATTCTCCGCGTTACTTTCAGAGTACGACTTTATTAAAATTCCAATCCAATCAAAATCATGATTTTTAAATAGAATAAAATGAAGAATCTTATATGGTTAAACAAAAAGTACTCTATTCTTCTTTTGTACGAGAGAAAGAAAGTAAATATTAGAAAATAAAATAAATTTTTAATACATTTAATCAATTTTTCTTAAAAGAATGACAGATAATTAATTAAAGAAAAGAGAATTCAGTCTAATTGAAATTATTACATAAAAATTTAGAAAAATGTTGAAAATATTCAGAACTATATTAAATTAAGTAAGGAAAATAAATTCTTAAAAGTAACAAGCAAAAAAAAAAAGAAATAAACTTATCACATTATTTACTTTAGATGACTTAATATTAATTACATGAGTATCACATTTTATTTTAATTCAATGCAAAGTATTCAAATGTATGAATTTCTCTTGAATCTAATATTTTTCAAAAAAGGCTTGCAAACAATAATAAATGATGTTTGCTTTAAAAGAAATTATTCATTTCGTGTTCTTGATACTTCCAATAGAAGAAAAACGTATACAAAAAGGGAGGGGGACCACTTTTGTTAAAAAAATTCATCTTTATTGTGGAATGCTCTCAAAACATTAAGTTATAAAATGAAATTTATTAACAATTCATTTATTAGTTTTCTATATCTAAAAATATTTATGATATATTGAATATTTTCCTCACCAAACCTTTTTTTTTTCAGCACTAAATTCAATCTTAGAAATATTGAAAGAGAATTGCTACAATAATCATTCAATAATGTTGCTTTAAATTTAAAAGTTATTTAAGTTGTTATCCAAACTTATATATATATTCGTTTGAAATTTTTAATTCAACCATCTTTTCGTACACTTTAAAAAAATGTGATGTTTTAAATATTGCTACTAAACTGAAAAACTTAACAAATTTTTAATCATTTTTCGAGAAAAGCACACAAGTTTTAAAAATTAAAAACTAGAATAAAATGAAATTCTCAAAAGTATTTTTTGACATTTTTCTATTTTTAATTTTATTTTCCATTATTTTCATATTTAAAAATTAAACAGAGAGAGAGAGAAAGCGAAACAATATTTTTATACCTTGATTTTGTCTTTGGGATATTTTTAAATACATAATATTAACAACATGTATTTTATATCAGCTATATTTAAAAAAATAATCGGTATGAAAATGATATAAAAATCATACTTAAAAATTTGCTTAACATTTATTTAATCAGTGTAGTATATTAAATCCCTAAAAGTAGTATAAGAACAATACTATGAAGCAAAAGGAAATTATACACATATTACCCCAAACGTTAAAGAAATTTCATGTAACATTTGTATAAACATCGGAAATGAATAAATGCAAATTTCAAAGTAATATTTGTATTTTAATTTTGTATTTTTCAATAATAAAACACAGCAAATAATTCTTAACTTAAAAATATACAGTACCATAAAAAAATTGATGAACGGCTGATAAAATTAAATCAATAATTTTGCAATTTTATTTTATATTTTAATGTAAGCATTATTATTTTAAATACACATATCCTGTAAAATAAACACTTATTCTAATCAAGAATTAACATTCATATCCAGTATATACTCCTTATTTGAAATCAGGCTGATGTCGCAATTTTTTCGTGATTTTTTTTAAAATTTATATACACAAGAAAATGAGATACTTTATATATGGAAGAAAATTTTAATCAAGTTCAAAATTTTGCAAGAAACATAAAAATAGAGAAATAAAAACAAATTAAAAGATAAAATTGAAGATAAAGTTTCATAAGATTATAGACAAGTATTGTCTCATATCTTTTAAAAAAACTGAATTGCCTAAATAGTGGATAACGGAAACAGAAAATTGAAATGTATGTGTAGTTTCCAAGAAAATAGTAACAATATAAGTTTTTAAAGCAAATGTTTACAGACATAAAGATATACCAGGAAAACTATAATTGAATCCTTACACTATATATTTGTGTATAGTTGTTGACAGTGACGCACACAGGAATTTTTCAAGGGGGAGGTCCGGGGTCGAAAGTTCACCATTCTTGTATCATGCTCCGTTTGATTTTGTCGATTTTCGGGAACAAAACACAGTAAAAAACTAGTTTTTGAATAAATAATTAGCATTCATTAATAAAATTAATCATTAATAGCAAGTAATTACTTAAATTTTACGTACTATATACTTAGAATTATAATCAATCGGAAAAAAAATCAAGGGCTTTAGGGGGTCCGGACACCAGGACCCCCCTCTCCTTGTGTGCGCCACAGGTTGTTGACTATGTTGTTGCACAGCACAGGTTCTCAACGTGAGCGAAAACGCCCCCTTGTGGGCGTTTGAGGCTTTCAGGGGGCAGTAAAAGACCCAGAGTAAGTTAGGGGTTTTTGAGATAGTATAAAGAGGCATGGCAGATTAACCAAATATAGTCTAAAAAGACTAAAAGAGCACGCTGATTATGTACTAACAAAAGTAAACTTTAATACTGGTTACCGTATGTTGATTGTATATATTTAAAATTGTAAATTCGTGGGAATAGCTATTTCAGATTTGCAAGTAAAAAAAAAAATTATAGGGGCTTTAAAAATACATTCTGTTAGTAATAGAAAATTTAAAAAAAATTTAATTCTTGTTTTCACCATGTATTATAAACACTCTTATTTCTTTGGACTGGGAGGGGGTAGTAGGGAAATATTCACTAGAATAGGGGGCGCCAGTTCAAAAAAAAGTTGGGAACTTATGTTATACAGAAATATATAAAAACAAGTAATATAAAAAAAATTAAGTCAATTCCTACTTAGGTCAGTAAAGAAAAATTTTATTTCAGTTACTTTTTTTTAAATAGTTACAATTAAATACATATAACAGAATCATAATATTAAGTGGCAAAATAGAAATCGATTTTCCCTTTCTATATATGGTGTTGTACTATTATTTTTGTTTATTACTATTCATTCATTCATAAATCACATTTTCAGAAATTAGGCCACCCCAGGTAGGATTCGAACCCACGACCTTTGGATTAGAAGTCCAACGCGCTATCCATTGCGCTACAGGGACACAACGAGCGATTTTCCTTTTTATATATGGTGTGGAACTATTATTTTTGCTTGTTACTATTTATTCAAGAATTAAATTTAACTAATGAATTAATATTCGAGAAAAACTGTATTAACATCAAGTGTCATCCACTAAAAGTTTTTAAAAATGTATTTGAACTTGAATGGATGAATAGAAATTATTTTATTAACGACTGAAAATTTGAATAAGTTATATATATATAGGAATATTGTGAGCTAACAGTAGAAGTTGAAAAACTACGAAACGGCAAAAAGTTTGTGTGAAGGAACTAATAACTCAAATGTTAGTAGAGGACAATTTACATTTGTGAATAACAAAATACAAACTACAGTTACGCCCACATGCGTTTAAGTCTTATATTAATTAATCTTTTTCAGTGCATCTGTTTAAAATATCTGATGTTAAAAAAATAAATCCTAATGAGGAATTAGTAACATCATTAAAAACCGAATTTTGGGTTTTGAAACACATTCATCGAAAAACAACGAATCAATTTTGAAATTAAATTAAATACCAATTAACTGTTAAATATTTTTTAAATAAATATTAATTGTAAAATTACTGAATTTACACAACACATATTGGGTATTTAGCAATATGATGAATGGCAAAGCTTCATTGCATAAAAATTATTCATGACAAAATTCAAGCTAACAAACATAACAGGCCAAAAGAAAAATTGTATAACGTCCATTACTATTGATATTTACTGTTTTTTTCCCCTTCAAACATTTATTATAACAAAAAGAAGATACTTTTGAATTTATTTAACATATTTTTAGAACATCTAAATTATGAGTTGTTTCAATTAGTTTTTTCACTGATGAGGGTTAGTGTATTTTGAATCGAGAGAAGAGTATACTGGCTTTTTTGCTGAAAAGATTTGCTCTGTAATTGAAATCTTAGTCGTTATTTACAAGTGAAAAAAATCTTAACAAATGATGAATAAAAAAAAATTTTTTTTAAAAAGCAGAATATATAAATTTTGAAGAAAGGTATGAATATTCATTTAAGTAATAAGAGTTAAAAAAAATTAATGGACCGTAAAATTAAGGTGGGCACCTAGCGGCCTGCAAAATGTCTTTATGCGATCTGCCAAGATAGTCAGAAATTCCGCTTTGAACCGAGATTTCTTTTCCATGCGCGATCAAAAATTCGTTTTGTATTTTTTACTATTAGGAAAACAGATTTCTTTTATGAGGAAAACTAAGGAACTGAAAATGTTTCTACTAAGAGATTACCTGCAAAGTTTGGATGACGAGGTCGCAAGAAGATTTCAAAGTTGTAAAAAAATTGAGTCTAAATTCAATTTACCCTTTTATCCCATTTATATTGATTGATACATCACCTGAGGAGCTACAGCTTGAACTTAACACTAGATTGCCCAAGGAAGTCATTTTGACTGCTTTTTAATTTCAAGTAGAAAAACAATTACATATCTAATGCACAATTTCTAAGAATTTTTTTGAATGTATCTTATTTCCAAGTGAAGTAAATTTTTTTTACTGTTAATATTTACTAATAACTTGTTATATGAATGCAAATAATACAAAAAATATTAAAAGTTAATTTTAAACAAGTTTTTTTTACACATTACTCATTCTTTGGCAATGCAGTCATTTTGACTGCTTTTGGGCTACATACTAAATTTCAGTCTTTGTAGTGTTGATGACTTGAAGTCAGATCACAGTGTGAAGAAAATGTTTTGTGCTAGACAGTCACCTTTACAAATCTTTGTCAGCTGAAAAATTTCCATGTATGAGAAATTTGCTGGGGAATTCATATTTTAGTCGTCATATATTTGTGAGAAAAGATTTTCTTGCATGAAGAACAGCAAGAGTAACTATAGATGCAAGTTGGCTGACATAAATTTACAGACAGTGACGACAATTTCAACAACCAATCTCACTCTTGATTACAAAAAGATTTAAAAAAAAGAGTGATAGGGTACCTTTGTTTCATTAAACTAATTCCTAAATTAAATATGCATGCAGCTACAGACGATCTGAAATTAGCACAATAAATAGAATAAAATAGCCCCTATTTTATATTTATCATAATGAGAGAATGCAATCATTTTGAAAAGGTGCGCTCTCCTCCCACATCCTCTGCTCCTACAATGTGGCCCTCGAGCCAAAACATGTTGCTCATCTTTGCCTTAAATAATTTCAAAGCATACAGTAAACAATGCTTATTTTTTATATAAATATACACTGAAAGGAATACACTATATTCAAGGAAACGGTTTACCAGGTTATAATGTGTGTGATACATATTGCTAATAGATGAGATATAAATCCCTGTCCGTGATATGACAGCAAAATGTGTCTAAATTACAATCACAATATTGGATAACGGAAAAAAGAAAACTGTTATACATCTGATATGGAGAATTAAGAACAAGTTAAACGCAATTACGATTTTATGACAGTTTCTGATTTTAGACAGAGGAAATTGAAAAACAGACTAATAATAACGACAATAATTTCTTACATATTATCGAAAAAATACCTTAAGACTACACGGTACCCTTTTTCAAAAAATTTTTTTTGGTGTTACAGTAAAAATAATTGATGTTTTATATTTAAATTATATTATTAAGATGATTCTGTAAGCAAAAAGTCAGTTTGACCAGCCATTAATTTACAATTTTAAAAAATTAGGAATTTTTGAAGTTTTTTCAAACTCTTATAAAATACTCAATTTTTAAATTTTTTTAGTAATTTTAAGTTATTTATGATTCTTAGATTATTACAAAAATATTTAGTATGGATTTGAAAATCTATTCCCTTGTTGATTTTTAATAATTATTTTTCTAAAAAAACCTGGAAAAAACACAAAATTTTTTAAAATATCAACTTTAGCATTTTTCAGAAAAATAACTAGAGTTCTGAGAGCCCTAAATCCATACTAACTTTTATAGAACAGACATTTGGGAGTATATACAAAAAAATTCAATGCTCTATCTTGAACAGGAAAAAAGCCTTAGGGATTAGAAAACACTTATACTTCAAAATTAAAAGTCTGAGAAAAACGCATTTAAAGTTTGTAAAGTCATAAAACAAAAACTTATAATGCCCGTAAAACTCTAATTTTTAATATGTTATTTCCCCCCAATGTATGTTCTACATTAAAACACTATTTTTATTAAATATGACTGAAAATTATATTTTTAATTCAAAATATATTTTTGCATAATATTGATAGCATTTGTTAAGACGTCGGTTTATTCAGCTTTATCTTATCCTAATATTTCACAAAAGTTTTGAAACACGAAGCATTTATGTACAAAATAATAATGATACTAACTTAAGCTAAAAATAGCCAGGTTTGCTCATAAAATTTAATTTTTTTCAGTTTTTGGGGCAGTTTAGGAAGTTTTAGCTCTTGTCGTACGACTTTAAAATACTAAAATATAGTACTACCATATGTTTAGTATAATGTAGTTTGGTACATCAAGGAAATATATTCAGTTATATCTGCAGCATTTGAATTCAGAATACTTGTATTCGTAAGTATAATTGCAGAACCAGCTGAGGACTGATTTTTAGATACGTCATTTTCAGTAGTATTCCATCTCTTCGAAATATTGTTTCTCACAGAAACCCAGAAGGCATTTGCCATGTCATTTTCTCTACAGGAAAAAATTAATGATAAAGCTTTTAAGTTATATAAACTATTTTTAAAGCAAAAATTGGCCATGAAATTAATCTTTATTAATTAATTATGAGAACTCAAAACATAATCAAGCAGAAATGATTTTAGTAATGAAAATTGGAATTAATAACCATTTCCAACTAAAAGCTCAAAAATATTTTTAATTAATTCAACTTAAGTGTAAAAAAAATGCTTTAAAAGGAAACCGAAACCAAAACCATAGCTCATAAAACTTCAAATATCTTAAAAACTAAAATTGCTAACATATCTGAAATTTCATGGCAAGCATCTCAATGATATGGGCCACCAAAACATACAAAAAAAATTTTTTCGGTAAAAATGAAATTTTTAGTGTACTGTGTAGCCTTAAACTTCTAAAATGTTTTTTGTTTCAACTGTTTCATGTTATGTTTTTTCACACACACATGAACTATGGATTTAACTCAAAGTGTAGTCACCAATATAGTTTTTCAAGAGACTAATGATTAATATATTAAAAGTAAAAAATATTTGTGTGTGTGTGTGTGTGAATACATTACCCCTTTCAATTCCCTTGATACACTTTAAGATATTACTATATTTTTAAATACTTTAAAAAGTGCAAGGTGATAATTAGGGGCACACACACAGGGGGGACAGGTAACCGGGTCCAGACCGCCTTGATTTTTTCGATTGATTACAATCCTAAGCATATAGTAAGTAAAATGCAAGTACTTTTTAGTCTTAATTAATTTTATCAATTAATGCTAATTATATATTCTCTTAATTAATTTTATCAATTAATGCTAATTATATATTCAATAATTAAATTTTTATTTTTTGTTCGAGAAAATCGACAAAATCAAAAGAATATGTTGGGCAGCGAGATGATACGAGAATTGTGGACATTCGATCCTGACCCCCCTTCGAAAAATTCCTGTGTGAGCCACTGGTGGTAATACAAAAGATAAATTACGAAAAAGATGAAAAAAGTGAATACATATTTATTAATATATCATTCATTAACTTAGAATAAAGCTTTTTATTTTAGAAAACACGATGCACAGAATTAATTGGAAAGGATTATATAAGTTAAGTTTCAAAAAATAGACTTCTATCATTTGATTCGCAACTGTAAAATCTTAAACAACTTTATAGCAAACAATAAAATAGTTACATCAATTTTCCTTATGTTTTCCGGTTAAAATAATGTCTTTATTTCATTTTATATATGTATAAAAAGGGTGGGGATACTTTTTTAAATAAAAAAAAGGCACAGAAAATATTCTAGCTTTTCGAAAAATTTTATTATTAAATGTAAAATTATATATATATATATAAAA